TCTCACTCTGTCACCCAGACTGGAGTGCAGTGGTCGATCCTGGCCACCACAGCCTCAACCTGCTGGGCTCCGGCGATCCTTCCGCCTCAGCCTTCCGAGTAGCGGAATTACAGGCATGCGCTACCACGCCCGGATGATTTTTTGATTTTATTGTAGAGATGAGGTCTTGCTGCCCAGGCGGGTCTTGAACCCCAGGGCTCAGGCAATCCACTCACCTCAGCCTCCCAAAGGCGTGGGATTTCAGGCTGAGCCACTGAGCCCGGCAGGATTAATGTTTTAATGTTTAAGCAGAACACCAAGCGATTTAGTTTTAGAATGCTTAACTTTATATGAACTGATAGAAACAGAAAGGTATCAGAGCTATTATAACAAAATAGTGGATACCTCTCAATGATGAAATGAGAGGGAAATTTTCTTCTTTATAACTGTCTGTATCATTCAGAATTTTTACTACGTATATGTATTTTACTTTATTTATTTATTTTTTTTGAGTTGGAGTCTCACTCTGTCACCCAGACTGGAGTGCAGTGGCCATTTCCGGCCACTGCAGCCTCAACCCGCTGGGCTCCGGCGGTCCTTCGGCCTCAGCCTTCCAAGTAGCTGGAACTATAGGCGCACACTACCACGCTCGGTTAATTTTTTTAAAAATTTATTGTAGAGATGAGGTCTCGCCAAGTTGCCTAGGCAGGTCTCGAACCCAGGGGCTCAGGCCATCCACTCACCTTGGCCTCCCAAACCACGGGATTACAGCCAGAGCCACCGAGCCCGGCCGTATATGTATTCATTCATTTATTTATTTATTTTATTTGAGTTGGAGTCTCACTCTGTCGCCAGACTGGAGTGCAGTGGCCGCTTCCAGCCACCGCAGCCTCGACCTACTGAGCTCCAGCAATCCTTCTGCTCAGTCTTCCAAGTAGCTGGAACTACAGGCGCGCGCTACCACGCCCGGCTAATTTTTTGATTTATTGTAGAGATGAGGTCTCGCCTGCCCAGGTGGGTCTCAAACCCGCCGGCTCAGGCAATCCACTCACCTCAGCCTCCCAAAGGCGTGGGATTACAGGCTGAGCCACCAAGCTCAGCTCGCCCAGCTAATTTTTGATTTATTGTAGAGGTGAGGTCTCGCCAAGTTGCCCAGGCGGGTCTTGAACCCTCAGGCTCAGGCATTCCACTCACCTCAGCCTCCCTAAGTGAGGGATTACAGGCTGAGCCACCGAGCCCAGCTATATATGCATTTTTAAAAATCAACCTCTCTCCATCTCCCATTCTCTCAGTCTCTGATAACCACTATTCTACTCTCTACTTCTTCCGAGATTGAGCTGTATTCAGGGTGGTATGGCCATAGTACTTCAATGAATTATTCTTATAATGAAGGAAAAAAGCTACTAACCAGAAGAAATTATCAACAAGTCTCTTGCCCTCTTGAAACAAAAAGAAAAAAGTTTTCAAAGAAAGACAAGAAAAACTTCAGGTTTTTCAGGGACAGCAAGAAAGTTATCAAAAGATAGTTAAGAAAGAAAAATAACCTAGGAAATAAATTTACTTTTCTACTTAAAAGAAAAATTCCATTGAGAGAGCAATTCTGTATAACAGAATTGAATTTTAGAGCTGAAAAGGACTTTAGCAGTTGTCCAGATCAATATATTCACTTTATGGATAAGAATAGTGAGATCCAGATGGTAAAGAGACATGCCAAAGGTTATCCAGAAATTTAGTTACCAGCACAGGGATTCTCTTCTAATTTGCTAAATTTAGAAACTAAGCAACTAAGCTTATTTGCACATCTAAAGATAAACAGGCCATGACAAAGGCTGAGCAGAACTCTTTGTGAAGCAGCAAGCATATCCTTTGGAAACTGGACTTTGATCCAAGTTTTTGTTGTTGTTGTTGTTGTTTCTGCCTTAACTCCTAGTTCTTGGCTGGGTTCCTCATTAACTGATGGGGCTGCCCAACTGAGGGGTTCAAGACAGGTGCTGCATTAGCAGCAGAGTTAATTATATGCTCAGGGGAAATCTTTGGCTTTATTAGAAAATCAATTTTGTTCTTGATCATTTTCAAGAGTGTCCTTTATTTTTAAGAGGACTGTTCAATCAAATTATAGAGTCAAGCCTTTCAGGGAAAGGAAGGGACAGCAAATTTACCTGTTTAAAAAAAAGAGAAGCTGGGCTCGGTGGCACAGCTGTAATCCCAGCACTTTGGGAGGCTGAGGTGAGTAGACTGCCTGAGCCCGCGGGTTCAAGACCCGCCTGAGCAACTTGGTGAGACCTCATCTCTACAGTAAAATCAAAAATTAGCTGGGCGTGGTAGCACCAAGTAGTTTCTGCTACTTGGAAGGCTGAGGCAGAAGGATCGCCGGAGCCCAGCAGGTCGAGGTTGCGGTGGCCGGGAGCAGCCACTGCACTCCAGTCTGGGTGACAGAGTGAGACTCCAACTTAAAAAAAAAAAAAAAGAGAGAGAGAGAGACACACACACACAAGGTAGATCACAGCTCCTCTACTGGGATGACCACAGGTGGTGCAGGTTTGTTAAAGTAGAGGCTGTTCAAACCAGTAAATTCACACAGTTCATGTTGCTACCCACAACAGATACCTTGCTGTCCAGGAGAAGGTTGTCTGGTTTGATGTCTCTGTGGATGAATCCAAGTTGGTGAATGGAGTCTATGGCTAATACTGTTTCTGCTATATAAAACTGAGTCTCCTCTTCTGTAAGAGTGTCTTTTTTCATCAACAAGGTCATCATGTCCCCTGGAACAAGATACAAAGCCACCACACACACACACAAATAAACAACATATGAGTAAGTACCAGTTTTCAAGTCTTCCCTATCTGCCAACATAAGGCAGCTAAACAGACCTTTGCTGGGTTCCAGAGATTGACCCATATTGCCAATATGAAGGGAAACGCTAAGTAGTGGTTTTAATACTTAAAAGGTAAAAATCACAGCCACAGACAGCAAAGTATGTTCATACCTAAGTTAGCTAATGTTGACCACTAAGCTGTGATTTCTATTTCTACTTTTGTGAGAAAAAAGGAAATTTCTCCCATATTTTAAAAAAAGTAGTACTTGCTTAGGATGATTTTTTTGCAATGGGGGAGAAGCTACTCTACTTTTTACTTTGTACAAATACCTACAAACTTTACATATAGAACTAATGGCACTTCTACATAACTGTACCGCTGTTGCTACAGAGAGAGGCTGAAATGCCAAATAAAAATATTGTACCACTGTTGCTACAGAGAGAGGCTAAAATATCAACAGTTGGGAGGCTGAAAATAAGCTTTCTAGCTTTTATTCACAAAACACTAGAACACAAACTGGAACTTGGACCAGGCGTGGTGGCTCAGCCTGTAATTTTAGCACTTTTGGAAGGTTGAGGCAGGAGGATCACTTGAGCCCAGGCATTTGAGACTAGCTTGGGCAACATAGCAAGACCTCATCTCTATAAAAAATAAAAAAATTAGTCAGGTGTGGTGACACATGCCTGTAGTCCCAGTTATCCAGGAGGCTGAGGCGGAAGGATTGCCAGCCCCAGAAGTCAAGGCTGTGGAGAGCTGTGATCGTGCCACTGCACTCCAACCTGGGCAACAGAGTGAGACTTCCATTCAAAAAAACCCCCAAAAAACAGATGGGACTTAAGTAGCAAAGCATTAGTCAACAAAAGCTAAAAATGAACTGAAAATGCTATACACTAGAATGTGCAACAACACATTCAGAAATATATACTGAATACCTTTCGAGATCAGTGTTCTTTTCCTCTAATGTTTTATTATAGGTATTTAAATGTACACCAGTACCCTTTTATGTCACTTTTAAAACAGAGTATCAGCATTTTAGCAGTTAAAAGGTAACATTTTTAATTTTCTGAAAAGTCAAAAATTAATTATTTCTGCTTAATATCAGCAATATAAAATGGCAGAAAAAGATTCAGATCCTAACTCAACAGTTAGAAAAGCAAAGAAAATATGCATAAGTAGTTTAAAGTTAAGAGAAACAGGAAAGACTAAGTTTAGACCTCACATAAAATCACTTATGTTAGAAAACAAGGAAAAGAGAAGGAAATCTCTGATTTTAATACAGCATCATAGCTGGGCTCGGTGGCTCAGCTTGTAATCCCGCGCCTTTGGGAGGCTGAGGTGAGTGGATTGCCTGAGCCCGCGGGTTTGAGACCTGCCTGGGCAGCGAGACCTCATCTCTACAATAAAAAAAAAAAAAAAAAATCAGCCGGGCGTGGTAGCGCATGCCTGTATTTCTGGTTACTTGGAAGGCTGAGGCAGAAGGATTGCGGGAGCCCAGCAGGTCGAGGCTGCGGTGGCCGGGAGCAGCCACTGCACTCCAGTCTGGGCGACAGAGTGAGACTCCAACTCAAAAAAAACAAACAAACAAAACAAAAAAATACAGCATCATGCTGCTTTTAAAATTTCATTTCATTCATAACTTTATCTTTTGTGTTCTCGGGGAAAAGTAGATATTTATTCCCCTCTGGCAAAAATTAAACCCTTTTAAATGCTCTTTTTTTTGTCTTAAGACTCGACAACTATGATTCCCTAATCACTCCTGGCGTCATTTAGTCTGAAAGCACACTAGGGATGGGACAGTATACTCAGCTGCTCCCCCACTGAGGGAGCTGTGTGGCCTTAGCTCCATGACCCAGGAGAACAGCCAATGGCCTTACCCGTGCGAGCTTGCCTAGATGATCAGAGAGCTCATGCCAGATGGTCTGTGGCTCTGCAGGCCAGCTCTACTGAGTACAAAGGACATGGTCCAGGAGACATGAGAAGCTATGGAAGATGGTACAGGTAAGGCTTTACTGGTGACCAAGCTGGCTCTTACTCCTATTTAAGAATTAGCATCAAGATTTTAAAACATTTCTCCTCATTCTACCCTTTTCTAACCTTTAAAAAAAAGTGTCGATTACCCTAGATCTAAGGGTTGTCACAAGATCAAAATACTATGCCACAATTATATTTGCTTTGCTAAGAACCAAAAAGGAAAAAGTTTTCTTTCTTTTCTACCAGAGTTTGCTCAAAGTTCATCTGCTCACTGAGAAACAGACTATGTTCCTCAGAACAGATGGGATGTTCTGTTTTGGGCTTACTTTGGAGCTGTCTTAGGAGATGCACATGCTGAGTTCCAGAAAACTTGAAATCTCAGAAATGAGAAATTGGTTCTGGGTACTAATATAGGTAATAAGAAATTCACTCCTTATTCACATGTTATATTTTTAAAAACAAGAAAGTTGGAGCGAGCAGAATATTATAGCTTCAATTTTGTCACTTGGGCAACTTATCACACACGATTCACATTGACAGGAATACAGGCAGAGCCCCCTAGTTTATTCCCACGTGTTTAAGATAGAAAAGGAAAAGAAAGCAATATCCATCTGAAATCATGAGAATGAATGAAAAGGTTACTTTTATGGCACTAAGATTGCAGAAAGGTACCCCAGCACAAGACGGGTTACTGACCTCCTTAATTGACCTAAAAAAAGATATAGAAAGCAACTTTGTGAGCACAGTCAAAAGTAGAAGAAGAGTTAATTGTTGATGTGAGAGAAAGGAACCACAGAACAAAAAGGAAAAATGACCTTTCATCGTCAAGTAATTACCTCCAGGCAGGAACTCCATGATTAGGTAGAGGTTTAGCTTATCCTGAAAACTATAGAACATTTTCACAACCCACAAACTGTCTGCCTCCACTAGAATGTCTCGCTCCGCACGAATGTGGCCAACCTGGAGGTATATGCATTTGATTAATAACAAGCCTTGCTCTGCTTTATTAGATTGTATATTTGTTTAAACAATGTAAATATTGTTTTGAGTATTTAATTGTGAGGATGCAAAACATCTAATTTCTGGTTAGGCAAACGTATTAACTCAAAATTGACAACATTTGACTTGAAGATATTTGGTGATGAAAACTTGAGTGATGAAAGGCTTTTAAAAATGGCAAAATGAATGGTCATACTGCAAACAGCAACTTTAACGGTGCTATAAAAATGAACCTCTAATTAGTTCAAATTAACACTCTTTTGCACATATTTTTGTTCTAATAATCTTCTATGATAAAATATGTCCCCAAGGTGAAACTCTAAATAAGTCTTCCCCTCACGTATGCAATGACATCTGCCATGACAGAGCCCCAGTTGATAACCCTAGAATGCTATGATGTCACAGCATTAGTTCGCTACTATGCACACAGTATGTCCTCAACCAGTTCTTACAGAAGTGAAATATAAGAACACCTAAGAAAAATTAGACATTCAAAATTAATAGCATTTCCAGTTTTCTACTTTTATTGAAATATCTAGCAAAGGAGATCAAGTTGAAGACAGTCTGGGAGAACTAGCATTAATTACTATGTTAAAATAATGATTTATTGTCAAATTTACCTTATTTACTTTAAATATAGTATAGTAACCAAAATACCTCTGCATTGTCATCAAATTTCACTCCTCTTCCTTTTTTTTTAAGTGTCACAAGATCCAAATTGAATTTGAATCATATCTAAATGTATTAAGACCCAGTGCAATTCTTAAATAGTGGTTTTGGCTTTAACATATGCTACAAATCTCGTTTTTTCAATATGTCCTAAGGTAAAAGATGTACCAAGGTTCACAAACTGGCACTTCTGTTGGCAAATTTAGCCCGTGGCTGCCCTCTGTTTAATACAATGTTTGACCCAGTGCCTGTTTGTCTTAATAGAGAGTCTTCAGCAAGACCAGGCACTCTTCATTACCCTTACATTTGGGCACAGATCCCACTCTCTCTTATGTTACACAAATCTTGCCACAGTCTTCCATGCCAACCGAGGCATCTGAGTTTACATATTTGAGTTTTCAGTCTCTATTAAAATTGTTCTTTGGGAACCTTTTTAAAAGTTTCAATTTTACAGAAAACTTACATTTTACAACTGTATTTATGGTATAAGGGTGGGAAAAAAAGGACAATAAATGTGATAGAGAACCATGAAGAAGTCAAGTAAAGCATCTGCTTTTACTTGACCTTAATATAGAAGCAAAGCTTTTTGGACCAATAATGCCCTTTGCTGACCTGCAGTCATGGCTATGACCCAGTCACTACTAGACACTAATAGTGCAAAAAGCAGCCTTCACCTGCCTATCTCCCCTGCTGCCCGTTAAGGACTACTGCAGGGAGGCACCTGTCACTCACCAGGAGGACAGAACTGTGACTGCGACATATCCTGTTTGTCAAGGGAAAATTACAGTCACCATGAACACTCCTTGCCCTTCTCTCCTGAGGGTGAAACAGCAGTAAGAAATCTCAAAATCTAGAATTGGAGTCAGCTGAATATAAGGAATATAAGATGAGGGAGGGAAGAATCAAAGGTGCAGCTCACAAAAAAAGTTTCTCTTTCCCCCATTCCATAAATATAATGGGCTGGGGTGCAAGTTACTGTTCCAGGTACTAAGAAAGAAGAGATAAAAGCCAAACTTTTGTTCCATCATTAACAGTGTACTGGCATCACAATCGAAGGTCTGCCTTTTACACTGGAAGCATCAGAAACTACCTAAATTCCAATGCTTTAGCCTCTAAAATATTCCAAATAGCAAAAATTTCCAGTCTATGGAGCAGAATAATAATCTAAACTCAGTGGCAGATTTAATTTTTGTTCAGTTTAGTAAAACCAAACAAAAAACAAATTTTCTTCTGGATAAGGTACCTAAAACTACAAAAAGTCTCTGAATCTAAACTCTGACAGCCCTACCCAAAAATGTTGATGGATTTGCACTGATATCCTTCCAACTTTCACCTAACACAAATCTGATGCATGCTTCTTCAAGATGGCTGACCTAGGCAGAGTCTAAGGCCAGAGACCTTACTTAACTGGCCCATCCTGAGTTCAAACATAGGAAATTGAGCCCATCAGCTAAGGTGAGCTAAACAATTAAGTTAATGTACCATTTAATGCACACATTAATGTATCAGAAATCATAATTCTAACAGACTTTCTTTTTACTTTCATTCAGAAAAATTTTAGAAACCTATTTTGAAGAAGGTACCAATATTTGAGAAAAGGTTCTTACATAGCATGTTTGGATCATCCTCTGTTTCCATGGCACATGATATGTAGAATTAGTTAACTCTGAAAGTCATAATATGTGCTTCTCTTTATAATTTTATTCTCACTGCTAATTATTTGATAAAGAGATGTTTTAAGCCTTAGTTAAAAATCTTAAAAAATAGGTCTTGTAAAAGTAAAACTAACTCATGAAATGTAAACTCAATGCAGAAGCTTTGTATTTTCCTTCTCAAGACTAACTGAAACTCATTCCACATAACACACTCTACCACACACTAATTTTTAGGTAATATATAAATAGGGCTCCTGTGCATTTTAAATAAGACTGATGTGAGCATAAACAATAATGTCTGAAGATTTACTGCCCAAGTATCTGACACTCTCAACTGAAATTCCTGAAAGTCTAAAGCTTCTGGGTAACAAACGAAAATTAAAGAGAAAACAAAATTTCCAAATGTTCAGGTGGCACTTAAGTGAAGACAGAGAAGACTCAGTGATTATGTACCTCCTCTAAAGAGGCAGAAAGGACAGATGTAGGACCAGCCTCTATCCTCGTTTCTGGGCTCTCTATCGAGAATGCTCCTTGTCACAGGGTCTCTCTTTGCATTCCTGTAACACTGAATTCTTCACAGGATGTTTGCAGTCATCACTCACTGCAATCTGTTCTTAAGCAACTAGCTAAATGAAACTAGATTCACAGAAATCCTGTTCTTGCTTTCTTTAATATACTGTACACTACTTAAAACCTTATTTATTTTGCAAGAAGTACTTATGCACCTTATAGACCTATTTACAAAGTGGGTTTGGGTTTCATAAAGTGTTCTTTTTTTTTTTGAGTTGGAGTCTCACTCTGTCGCCCAACTGGAGTGCAGTGGCACGCTCCCGGCCACCACAGCCTCGACCTGCTGGCTCCGGCGATCCTGCCACCTCGACCTACTGGCTCCGGCGATCCTGCCGCCTCAGCCTTCCAAGTAGCTGGAACTACAAGCGTGCGCTACCACACCCGGCTAATTTTTTTATTTATTGTAGAGATGAGGTCTCACCAAGTTGTCCAGGCGGGTCTCGAACCCATGGGCTCAGGCATTCCACTCACCTCAGCCTCCCAAGGTGAGAGATTACAGGCTGAGCCACCGAGTCTGGCTAGTGTTCTTAATCATTAAAAGAATTTGCATTATTCTGCCATTTCCATCATATTTTTCAAATCCATTCAAAAATTCTAAGACTGGTCTTTTCTTGGGCAGTGATGAGCTACTCTGAAGACCCAACTTTGGTTTAGGTATACAAAATGAAGCAAATTAAGATTTTTTTTTAGATTGTAAATTCCAGAATCTAATTCCCAGTTCTTAGTTCCAAGGTGTACACACAACTTCTATTCCTTAGCATTTGGTAAGAAACATACTAGTATATGAAGTATGACCTCAAAAAAAGGCTCTCGTGACAAAGACGTCTTATAATCAACTGGAAGGCACAAATACCAGCTGCTTTTCTAGTAGGTTTTCAACTTTAAAAAGACTGCATATAAACCGGGCTCAGTGGCTCAGCCTGTAATCCCACGCCTTTGGGAGGCTGAGGTGAGTGGATTGCCTGATCCCGCGGGTTCGAGACCCGCCTGGGCAACTAGGCGAGACCTCATCTCTACAATAAATCAAAAATTAGCCGAGCATGGTAACGCACGCCTGTAGTTCCAGCTACTTGGAAGGTTGAGGCAGAAGGATCGCCAGAGCCCAGCAGGTCGAGGATGCAGTGGCTGGGAGCGGCCACTGCACTCCAGTCTGGGCAATAGGGTGAGACTCCAACTCAAAAAAAAAGGCTGCATAAAACCTATAGGCACAAGTGTACCTTTAAATATGTAACTGCTTCTTTGTAGGGGGAAAATTAGTATTACATGTATAGCCATACATCACAGAACTAAAGAAAACTGAAATAAAAATACATATTTCAATTAAGTAAAAACAGTAGTTTTAATAGACAGGAATTTGTAGGCTGATTAAAAAGCACTGCTCCAACTGTGTTTTACCTGCTCTTTTTCAAGCATATCTGCTTTACGGAGTATTTTCATTGCATACACGTGCCCGGTATCTTTCTTCTGAACAAGCCGTACCTAAAAAGTTGTAAAAAAAATGTCAAGTCAAAAATTCACACCACCAAGTGAATGCTTTCAAGTGTCATAGGAAGTAATAATTAAACTGAAAAAGCATTACAATTTTAACATAAGTAATTAACAGTAGCAAAGCAAAGGAAAATGCTTTTCATTTGTTCCAATATGAACACATTACATACAGCAAAGTCAATGCTGCAAATATCTTCAAATATCTTTCCATCTGAACAGCTATGGCTCCCTGATTTAACAAACAAATCGGGGTCAGGCGAGGTGGCTCACACCTATAATCCTAGCACTTTGGGAGGCCCAGGTGAGAGGATTGACTGAGTACACAGGTTCGAGACCAATCTGGGCAATTTGGCAAGACCTCATCTCTACAATAAATCAAAAAAAATTAGCCAGGCACGGTGGCACAAGCCTGTAATTCCAGCTACTTAGTAGGCTGAGGCAGAAGAATCCCCTGAGCCCATTGGGTCGAGGCTGCAGTGACTGTGAGTGTGCCACTGCACTACAGCCTGGGCGACAGAGTGAGACTGCAGCTCAAAAAAAAAAATCTAATTTAAAATCTTCAGTTTCAGCCGGGCTCGGTGGCTCAGCCTGTAATCCTGCGCCTTTGGGAGGCTGAGATGAGTGGACTGCCTGAGCCCGTGGGTTCGAGACCCGCCTGGGCAACTTGGCGAGACCTCATCTCTACAATAAATCAAAAAATCAGCCGGGCATGGTAGCGCATGCCTGTAATTCCGGCTACTCAGAAGACTGAGGTAGCAGGATCGCCAGAGCCCAGCAGGTCAAGGCTGCGTTGGCTGGGAGCGGCCACTGCACTCCAGTCTGGGTGACAGAGTGAGACTCCAACTCAAAAATAAAAATTAAGATAAAAAAATTAATAAAATAAAATAAAATCTTCAGTTTCAAACTTAAGGGCTCATTAAACTATTGGCAAATGCCATCCAGACAGCTCAGAAAACCTAAGTAAATGATTACAACAACATTTAAAACAAAAGTAACAGGGTACATGGTGGCATGCACATGTAGTCCCAGTTACTAAGGAGGCTTGAGCCCAGGAGCTCTGGGTCTGTAGTGCGTTATGCCAATCAGGTGTGTGCACAAAGTTCTGCATCAATATGGTGACTTCTCAAGCACATGGGAACAACCAGTTTGCCTAAAGAAGGGTGACACTGGGACAAGTTAGAAATAGAGCAGGTCCGCCGGGCTCAGTGGCTCAGCCTGTAATCCCGCACCTTTGGGAGGCTGAGGTGAGTGGTGCCTG